GTGTCCTGTCTTCAGCAATAGTCAACTATAGGCTCCAAGTATTTGGAAAGTTTGTCCCCAGTTGGTGCACTGTTTTGGGAGGCTTTAGAAAGTGTGGCATTGCTGGAGGAAGCATGTCACTGGGGGAAGGTGTTACAGTTCAGTGACCACAATTCAAGCCTGATGGGCTTGGGAACTCTGAGGTATAGGTGGAGGAGAAATCAGGATGCAGGGGATGCAGAGGAGTATGAAGCAGTGCATGCTTTATTCTAAGAAGCAACCTTATTTATAGTACAACAAGAGGAAGAGAAAATGTTCTTCTCAAGCCAAATTATCTCATCATGATGTTTACAGTACCTTTATGATATTTGCAGTACCTTTGTGTTCCCAGGGCTCCGCCCTTTTTGGAATCGTATCTGTCCTTCCGTGCTTATCAAACATTCTGTTCTTTACTTATAACTTTATTAGCTATGCAGCTTTGTTATACAAGCTTACTTAGGTACGTTTAATAGGGTTCAAGGAACAGTCATTCTCATGATAAGAATAACTGCAGAAGAATATCCAAGTTCCCCGGGAACTGAGGTGTCCCATTCCAGCTCTGAGTTTACTTCAGATCAGAACTCAGGCCTTCACAATTCCCCTTTCTTTATTTTTTATAATGCCAGATCACGTTATATCCAGAACAGAAGGACCGTGCCTGTCTTAGGTTGTCCTCTGTTAGAGCAAAGCCTTACCTGTCATTGGCACGCAGCTTCCATCAGCTATGCCCTGTCTTAAGTTGACTTTCTCTTCAGAAGATCTTACCCTTTGATGTTCTGTGTGCTTCTTGTATCTTTGTAAGTATGTCTTTGATTAATTTGAGGAAGTTTTCTCCTATGATCCTGTTGAGGATCTGGTTAATGCCATTGACCTGAAATTCTTCTCCTTCCTCTATGCCTGTGAGGTGTAGATCTTTTTATGGTGTCCCACTTTTCCTGCATATTTCATTCATGTGGTTTGTTTTTTAAATTCATACTCTTTGCTTGAGTGGTCCAATTCTTCAACTTTATCACCCAGCCTTATTATTCTGTTTTCCATTTGAGTCATTATTTTTGTGATGCTTTCTTTAGTCATTTCAAATTGGCTTATTGAGTGTTTCAGTTCCATCTTCATTTCAGCATGGGTTTTCTTCAGTATTTCTATGTTTTTTTTGCCGAACTCAATTTCAAAACCTAAATTGTCTTCTTGATTTATTCAGCTGTATATTTGATTTTCTTAAGTGTAATCAGGAGTTGATGCCTATCCTCTTAGAGTTCTTTGAGTGTTTGTCTTTAAAGTTGTTGAATTCTTTATGTTTTTGATCCTTTAAATTCTGTGTCTTAGCATTCTGCTGGGTAGTTGTTATTGTATAACACTTCTGTAGAACTGGTTAAGATTTTCTGGGAACATATTGTGTTAGTTATTCATATTTTGTGTGTTTTGTGTTGTGACCTGGGTATACGGATTTGTTGTTGTTGTTGTTGTTGATGTTGATTGTGTATCTGATATGAAATTCTATCCTGCCATTGTTGAGTTGAAGTCTGGTACTGTTCTTATTGTTGATGTAACTTGGTTACTATCTCATCAGATGTGAATAATTAGTCTGTGCTCTAAGTTTTCCCTTTTGATTTTTTTTTTCTATCTTATTTGAGGGATGTAATGGTTCCACACTACCTAGTCTGGCATTCTCAAGCTGAGTAAAGGGCCATAGGCCCAAGGCTAGCTGATAGGGACAGAGTAAACTGTTCTAACTCATTCTATATAGTGTATAGTGGATGTGAGCCCTGGAGCAGGGCAAATGGAGCTTGTCCTGAAGCAGGAGAATAATGACCTGGTCAATGGGATGGTTTAATGTGACAACCCAGAATCATGCCCTTAATTCTTTCTCTCCTCTCTTTCTTATGTCAAAATATTCACTAATGCAGTAGAATAGTCTTCAATATATCATGAATATTTTTGCATTTTCATTTATAGGATCACTGTTTATTGAATTATTTCATGCTTGCATGCATGGATGTGTAAATCATTTCACTGCCTTCAGTTTCACGTGATTCTAATCCAGTTTTCATTCCATTAAAATTGTCTCTTAAAGACGCAAATATGACTATATCACTCTCCTGCTTGAAATAGTATCTCCTCATTAACTTCCTTTTATTCCCAACTGAATAATTGTAACCTTCTTAGCAGAGATCCAAGTCCCTTGTGAACTGGCATTTTCCTACTTTCTAGCTAATATCAAGACTAAATCTCAAATAACTAAAATTAGAATGAATTGTTTTACTTGTCAAGTAACAGAAAGAACCATCAAATGGAATATAAACTAAAGTGCTTATGGGCACCTGGTGGGTAATTTAAAAAGACAGTAATGTTTGATGGGTCTTTTGGGTAGAAGTAAGAACGAAAGGGACAGAAATACCTAAGAGGAGCTGGAGAGAACTAAAGTGGAAGAAGATCCTGAACATAGCAAATCAAACACAGGAAACTATCATTCAGTCACTGACATGTTTATAATGTCAGAATTGTGTTGAGTAGATATGATAGGTTGATTTAAAGAACCAAGAGTGAAGATAGAACTTGACCGAATAATCTGTGAAGTGTCTGGTTATAATTCTCTTTTGTTTACAAGATGTCATTTGATTTCTTATCAAGGACAGAACAAAATCTAAGATTTTTAAATGACCCAATTGGGCCAGATTCTTATTCCATATGCATCTTTATGTCCAACCCTACCTTCTTGCCCTTTAGGCTCCACCATCACTAATTGCACGGTAATCTTTCAAATTACAGTCTTGTGATTTTTTTTTCCACACAATGTTTCTTCCTTTTGAAATGCCTTGCCTTTATTTCTCAGATGAATTTTGTATCCTTCAAAATTCCTGCACAATAAAATGACTAGCTCTTCCCTTGCATGGTGACAAGCACCTTTATTTTCAGAACTTGGGAGGCAGAAGAATGTGAATTTCTGTGAGTTTTTGGCCAGGCTGGTCTATGTTTTAAATTCCAGCCTGGTCTACATTGGGAATACCAGGCCAACCAGGGCTGCATAGGGTGGTCCTATCTCAGAAAATCAAAAAAATACAAGGGCCAGGAATCCCTCTCTGAATATCCATCTCACACAGATAGCCATCCAGGTATCAAATCTTAGGTTTGTTTATAACTTAACAAATATTTACTGAGTATTAGTATCAGCCAGATTATGTTATATACTGGAAATACCATGGGCAATAAGCTAAGCATGGTGTTTACTCCTCTTGGCCTTAGGTTTGAATGGACACACATGCACAAATAAATTCTAACATGATTATCAGTTTAGTACATCTGATAAATTAAGGAAGGAATGTACTGAGATATAGGTGTTAATGATGAAATATATACATAAGCAAGCTACTTCTTTATTACTTTGGGCATATGAAATTATTGGTGTTTGACCTGTGCATCTCATAAAATAAGGAATTTTATATAATTAATCTTAAATCTTTTCTTTCTGAGAAATTGATATCTAAACCAAGACCTGAAAGATGTATAAAACTAGCTACATTGGCCAAGTTTGGAGATTAGCATGCTTCATGAACCAAGAGAATTGAGAAGAGTTAGTGACTAGATGAAAGTAAGAAAGAGACACAATTCAAATAATTTAATACTTTAATAAATTTTTATTGAATTCTCATAAAACGTAAAGCTTCTAAGTTTATTTCATGATCCCTCTGATTACTGTGGGCTTGGAATGGTATGGAGAAAGAGTAGAATTAGGCCTACCAATCTGAAGTTGACATAAGAGAGAAATATAATGTGTTACATACATAGGGTTTGAAATGAAATCTTGGTTTAAATCTTGGTAGTACTACATTGGTACTAAATCTTGGTAGTACTTGGTAGTACTATATTTTAGCTCTGTTACTTTGTGTGGGTTATACTCAAATTCTCTAACCTTAAATTTCTCTGTCTGGAAACAGGAGTAATAATGGGATCAATTTCATAGGCTTAGGCTAGGGATTGGACAAATCAATTGCAAAGCAATGAAGCAGTCCTTGGTAATATACACTTAATAGATACTAAGGATTAAAATCCAAATGTGAGGTGATAATGGCCTGGAGAAAGTTGATAAAGATATACTTGAGAATAAGTGAGTGGAATGAGAGGAATTATTGGGCTTTCAAGGGCCCAATCTAGTAATGGTACATAAAAAGGAAAATAGTTATTAAATACTTCTAATTCCTGTCAGAAGCTTACATGAGGTATAACAGTGTCTCTAATAAGAAAAAAAATCTTAAATGTGCATAAAATTTGTTTCTAAAATAGAAGATTTTTAGAAATTTCTTTTAAAATATTTGTATTAATTATTTGAGAATTTCAATCAATGTATTTTGATCACATTTACCTTACCTTTTTCCTCCTATCAACTACCGGATCAAGCTTTCAACTCTTCAGCCCTCCCAACTTCTTATCCTCTTTTTTTTGATAACTGACCAAGTCCTATTCGTGCTGCCCATATACTTATGGGTATGGGGACATCCATTGGAGCATGGTGAATTTACTAGGGATGGTACCCTTAAAGAAAACTGGCAGATCTCTGTGAGTTCAAGGCCAGCCTGGTCTACATAGTGAGTTCCAGGACAGCGGGGGCTACAGAGAGACCCTGTTTCAAAAAGACCCCCCCCAAAAAAAAGGAAAAGAAAACTGGCTTTCTTTCTCCCAGAAGTTATCAGCTATCAATAGCTTCTCAATTAGGGGTGGGAGCTCTTGAGCCCCACCTTTCCCCATGGTGGATTGTTGACCAGCTTGATCTTGTACAGGCCTTGTTTAACCTCAGCTGCTGTGAGTTCATAAGTGACATAGTCCTTTCATGTCCAAAAGATTCTGTTTTACTCTGGTGTTCCTCCTAACTCTAACTCCTACAATTTTTCTGTTTCCTCTTCCACAATGATCATAACAAAAAAAGTTTATATATCATTTTTTCTTATGTTAAAAGTCTTCTATATTTTTTCCATTTTCTTCTACCACAGAATGGAGACTGCTTGGAACACCAGCAGATGAGGATTTCAAGAAGCTTCCCAAACCTTGTTCTCCTTGGCAAGTGATAGTCCGTTCTGAGAAACACCTGACACCATGGGGAAACGGGATAACCGGGTGGCCTACATGAATCCTATAGCAATGGCCAGATGGAGGGGTGCCAGTCAGTCTGCAGGTCCAACAATACAAGATTATCTGAATCGACCAAGGCCCACCTGGGAAGAAGTGAAGAAGCAATTAGAGAACAAAAAGAAAGGCTCCAAGGCATTGGCTGAATTTGAAGAAAAAATGAATCAAAATTGGAAGGATGAGCTTGAGAAAAGCAGAGAGAAAGTATTATGTGGAAAAGTAAGATCATCCAAAAGAAAAGAAAGAAAGAAAAAGAAAAAGAAGAAATCTTGTCAGAGTACATCTTCACCAAGCTCTGATTCTTCAAGCAGTTCCTCAGATTCTGAGGTTGAGCCCAAGAAACAAGAGAAAAAGAGGAAGAGAAAGAAGAACCGTTCACACAAATCATCAGAAAGCTCCATGTGTGAATTGGAATCACAGGGCAACGTGTTACCCCCAAAGAAAAAGAAGTCAAAAGATGAAGCTGAGAAAGAAAAATACACCAAAAGCTGCAGCAGAAAAAGAAAGAAGGTTTGTCCTGAGGATAAGCCATCTTCATCGGAATCCTCATTAGAATCAGATTATGATGAGGAGGTACAGGCAAAAAAGAAAAGAAAGCATGAAGAGCAAGATAAAAACATGGAAAAAGTGAAAAAGAAGAAGAAGAAACATCACAAGAAACATAGTAAGAAGAAGAAGAAGAAGAAGTCTAGCTCAAGTCATAAATCAGTTTAACAGCACGGGGAAAAAAAACAGGCTTTCTCTATTTAAAATGAAGAAAAGTCTAAAAGAAACTTCAACTGTGAAAGCTAGGGCATATTTACCAAACTGCATGAGATTCCCGGTGTTGTTAGATTTATTCCTGGACTTTGCATTGCCAGTCAAATACCACTGTGCCAGAAAGGGCCATATTTGTTGCCTGCAGTTTAAATATAGGGTTTTGTTTGTTTGTCTTTATGCCCAATAGGTATATTCCTCTGGGAAATAAAGCTCTGTTGTCTTACTCGTGGTTAAAATGTTTGGAGTTAAAATGAAATGTTTTAGGTAACAAATAGTTTTGACCAAAAATGTATCTAAAGTTAAATATATGTCATTTATACACATCTTTACAGTATAATCAGGAATATCCTGACAATTATAGTTGACAATATAGGTGACAATTATAGTTTTGAAGTGAAGACTTCACATTGTTTCAAAAATCTTTCCTTTTGTAGATGTGTTTGGTTGGATTACATTTTTTTTCAAGAAATTTTTGTTTACATGGGGAAAGGGCTCGCAGCAGGGAGTGGGAGGGGGGAGTGTGTGCTACTCTGGCTAGCTGAATAGTGTGCCTTTGATCCTTACACATCCTATTTTTGCCAGTTCAGCAGCCATTTTTTTTGTTAGTGAAATTCTGGAATGTTGTTGTATACTGCTTCAAGTGAACAAGAAAGCAGTGTACAGCATAAGTCTTCAAAGCTATGACATTTACCTCCACTTCAGCACTATTCACTCTACAGAACTAAATACTAATTAGCATTAGAATATTACAGGATTTAAGGTAACTTTGGTGTTTTTGACATGGAGTCATTTTAAATAGACCCTGATTTCTTTTTATTCATAGATAGTGAATTTTTGCACATTTTATACTGTTGATTTAGTTATGCAGCGATATTCTTTATAACAAGTGGTAATCCTTTTTAATATGATTTATGGCTAATATAAAAAGTTTAAGTTTATTTTATCTTAATCTTTGGGTATTAATTTCATTTCATTACCATGTTTAAACTGCACATTTGCCAAAATATTTTGCATGTAAAAAGAAGGTCTTTAAGAAATTGTACTGCCTTCATATTGAAGCTGTTTTACTATAAGCAAGTTGAGTGCCAGACCTCTAGTATGCTGTGTGTCTTGTTATTACTGCCAAAACCTTAGTATTTTGTTTAAAAGTTTGTTATCTTGAACATTAGTATTGAACTAAAATAGAATTTAAATTTAGGCGATAATAACATGATTTATCTGTGTCCATATTTTACTAAGATCCGGTGCCTTGTGTCTGTTGCTGATTAGTTTTCACCACTATTGTTAAAAATGAGTTGAAAAATATTCTTATTTTGCATTTTTATATATTAGAGTAGTAAACTTGTGTTTCAAAAAACACCTATTACAGAAGATAAACTAATTGCAATGTCATGTTGCAAGCGATTTTGGCATGGTGAGAGAGGCTCAATAGTTCTTGTTTTCAAATACCTGATTTCTTTTCAGATTCTTTGAATCACAAGTAAAATTATAATGGTTGTACTTGGAGTGGTGGTGCACGCCCTTAAGCCCAGCACTTGGGACAAAGAGGCAGGTGGATCACAGTGAGTTCAAGGCCAGTCTGGTCTACATAGCGACCAAAAAAAAAAAGTGTTACAGTGGTAATATTAGGTTCTCTCAGTGTGATTCTTGGAGTATTTTAGTAATTCCATGATTGCTCTCCTGGGAGCTTCAGAAATTTAACTGTTTCTCAATATACATATATATATATAATATTATAATATATGCTGATAAAACTATTACATTTAAGAAGTATTTTGTACCCATATAGAGTTTTCAAGATTGTTCATTAAATGTTTTCTAAAAGTTATATTATTTGTATAATATGGCAAAGCCATTTTCAGATCACCCTATATCTCTGTGCTCCCATTCACTTCCCAGCTCATTGTAGTTGGGTGATCCTTTTGACTACTTCTGTCAGAGGGACTGTAAACAGAAGTGATGTGTCATTTCCATACTGGAGCAATGGCAAATTCTGCATGTCTCTTCAGCTCTCTCTTTACCTTCAACCATAACCTGAAAGCAAAGGCCAATCTTCATGGAAGATGCAAGCTGTATCTTTTTGTTACACTTTAGAAGGATTTTGCCTGGAAAACTGATTAACTTGCAATGGGATTTTTTGAGAGTAAAAAATAAATTGTTATGTGTTAAGTCACTTAGATCTTGAGTATTTTTTAAAATTGTTGTATCACCTAGCCTAATCTAAATAGAAAAGAGAACTCTAAAATATCTGATTCAATATTTACATAAAATAATGTACATACCTTCTATCACACATTCCTGAAAACTGCTAATTAATCCAAAGAGACCACATATGTTGTAGTAGAAGAATATGTTCATTTTGTTTGCATTAATTTTCACATACTGACTCAAGAAAAGGTTGATTTTATATAGTGTTCATTCTGCTGATTATGGTCAAAACAGTGTTCCAGGAATGAATTTTGGAAGGAAAATTTTAAAACAGTCATTGCTACTTCATGAGAATACTATTCTTTAGAAGTAAGTATGCATTATGATAGAAAATATGGTGCAGAATTATATTAGGAATAATAGTTTAGATGGATTACCTGAACATTTAATATGTTGCCTCCACATTGAAGCAAAATAGTTTGAAAGCACTGAAGTTATTCTGAGATTTGTTTTATCTGATAAGTGAGAAGAATAGCTTTAGCTATAACATTCTATGAACTTTGTCTATGTTAAGGGGAACCATGAGAATGTCAATAAAGAAGGAAGTAAATGGGAAATATAGATACAATCTAGATTACAAACTTAATTACAAACACTAAAAAGAATCTGAAGGATCTTAGGCTAAAGATAAAAATTTAGTCTGAGATAGGAGAATTAATAAAACCTAGGGTTCCAGACTTGTACTTCGATAACTTTGAAATTATAAAATTCATTTTGAAGGGGAAGTTTTAAAGTTGATAGTTACACTACACTAGTCATCTTCTCTATATCCCTGTGGTGTTTGTGTGTGTACATGTTTATGGCTGTGTTTATGTTTGTTTAAAGGGGTGAAGGGGTGGTGACCACAGATTGTGGAGGTTAGAGGATGACAATTGGGTGTCTTCCTCTGTCAGTCTGTATTTTTTTGAGACAGATTCTTTAACTGAACCTGGAGTTCATTGAATCAGCTAGCCTGGGTATTCAATAAGCATCTATGATTCTCTAGTACTCCCTGCCCCCAAACATCGGGGTTAGAAATTTTCATCACCATGCCCAGCTTTTACATGGGTGCTAGTGATCCAAACTCAGGCCCTCATGCTTCCATTGCAAGCACTTTACTCTTTGAGTCATCTCCCCTGCTGTCAGTACTCATTCTCCATTTAACTATATTTTACACATATTATTTTGTCTAAGATGTTTATTGTCCTTGCTTTATGTCTTATGAAAATTGTAGTCAGACATTCAGAGATATCTATGTACTTGTAATGAACTGATCTTTTTTTTTTTTAATGAAACAAGATCTTATGTATCCCATACAGGCCTCAAAATTCACTATACAGCCAAGAATAATCTTGAACTTCTGATCCCCCTGCTTCAGGAAAGCTAAGATTGCAAGCATGTACCACCATACTGGGTTTATGCCTGCAGGAGTCTGAACAGCCCTTTTTCTTGACTCATTAATGGCATATACCTTAGTTTACCTTGTATTATATATTTTGTATACTTGCAAACTTTAGGTTCTAAGACATTGGCTCTCAGATAAGCAGTGGATTGAAATGTTTATTTCCCCCACCCCTGCCACCACCCATGTTTTTTTTTCTATGTATATCAGGCTGGTATCAGTCTCCCAGATATATGCTTATAATCTCTCCCAGAGATTCAAGACATGTGGTACCATGCCTGGCCTCTCCCATTTCTTTATATGTGACCTCCACCAAATTGTTTCACCTCTGTGTAGCACAATTTCCTCATATACAAAAATCAGAAAAGAGTAATTATCTCAGACTATTGAGAATAAGAAACATTTAAATCATTTAACTCAGTTCCCAACATATAGCAAACATTTAAAATGTTATATATCCTCATCTTCATTTTGTACTATTTATTATTATTGTGATATTATTATTATTATTATTATTATTAGTAGTAGTAGTAGTAGTAGTAGTAGTAGTAGTAGTACTACTACTACTACTACTACTATTGAGACAAGGTTTCACTATGAAGCCCTGGCTTGTTTAGAACTTGATCTATAGACCAGGAGGTGGTCTGCACTCATGGAGATCCACCAGCCTCTGCCTCCCCAGTGCTATGATTAAAGGTGTATGCCATTTTACTAGACAAATCATTATTATCTTCTCTTTCCTATTTGTTAGTTCATTTCTTTTGATACCTTAGTTCCCTTCTATTGTCTAGGTATACCATAACCTATTCATTCACTTACCAGAGTGCATCTTTGTTGTTTCTATGTGTAGCAACTATGAACAAAGTTACTATAAACATCACTATGCAAGGTTTGTTTGACCAAAAGTTGTCAAATTATTAGGATTAAATAATGCAGTAACATTTTTGTCCCTGTGATTAAGATCTGTCATAAACAACTTAACCAAATGAGGATTTATTTTGGCTCACATTCAGTCCATGAATGTTTGACCATCAGTGAAGCTTGGGTGTAACATCATGGAAATGGCCACATGTGGCAGAGGAGCTTCTCTACCTCATACAAAATTGGAGAAAGGGAGGCTAAAGAAAGGGAAGAAACTCCCATCCTCAAGTTCCCTATTTACTCTAGCTATATCACAGCTACTAAAGTTTTAAGACTCTCCTATGCACCAGCTAGGGACCAAAATGCATGATCATCTTCAGATATACTTCATATCCAACCATAATAAATGCCAAGGAGTGGTAACTGCTGGTAAGTTGCTCAAAATTTTTGCATTGCATTCCAGATCTGTGTTATGATGACTAACTCAATCTTCTAGAGCTCGTTCATCTACTAGCATCTATTTTCAAGTGGAGAATAAAGTAGGAGAAGAACTTTATCCTAAGCCCAAGGGGCATGTACTATTATCTTTCCATTAAGATTTTCTACAGGGTGAATATCTCTCTTTGTGT